TTCATTTGTTTTGCTTTTTGGATTCCACATGTAAGTGAAATCATATGGTATTTCTGTCTAGCTTATTTCACTTAGCATAATATCCTCTAGGTCCATCAGTGCTGTTGCAAATAGCAAGATATCTCATCCTTTTTTATGGCTGAGTAATATTCCATTACATATAATGGAATGTGATATATATTTATTTATATATTTATATGTAAATATTTATAACTTTGTAAAGTTCTATTCAAATGTATTTATAAATATGTATTTATAATTTATTTATAAATATTTATTTATAAATATGTATTTATAATTTATTTATATTTATTTATATTTATTTAAATATATATGTATATATAAATATACATATATATGTACTTACATATATATATGTATACATATATATGTATACATACATTCATTCTATATATGTATACATACACATTCTATATATGTATATAGAAAAATGGATAAAGAAGATGTGATATATATCACATATACATATGTATACACACATATATATGGACATACATATGTGTATATATATATGTATATGTGATATATATCACATCTTCTTTATCCATTTTTCTATCGATGGACACTTAGATTGCTTCTGTATCTGGGCTATTGTAAATAATGCTGCAATAAACATAATAAACGTAGGGGTGCCTGTATCTTTTCCACTTAGTGCTTTCATTTTCTTTGGGTAAATACCCAGTAGTGGAATTACTGGATCATATAATATTCCTATTTTTTAGTTTTTGAGGAAACTCCTTACTGTTTTCCCCAGTGACTGCACCAATTTCATTCCGTGAACAGTGCACAAAGGTTCTTTTTCGCCACATCCTTGCCAACACTTGCTATTTCCTTTCTTCTTCATTTTAGCCATTCTGACAGGTGTAAGGTGATATCTCACTACGGTTTTGACTTGTAGTTCCCTGACAATTAGTGATGTTGAGCATCTTTTCATGTGTCGGTTGGCCATTTGTATAATCTTCCTTGGAGAAATGTCTGTTCATATCTTCTCCCAGTTTTAACTGGATTGTTTTTTTTGTGTGTGTTTTGAATTGTGTAGTTCTTTATATATTTTGGACATTCACCCCTTATTAGGTATATCATTTGCAAATATCTTCTCCCACTCAGTAGGCTGCTTTTTCATTTTGTTGATGGTTTGCTATGCAAACTAGAATACTGTTTTTTCAATGTCTATTCCATGGTGGTCGTTTTTTAAGGGCTTTATAGGCCTTAACCCATTTTATCCCCACAATCTCATATGAAGTAGTTATTGTCCCTATTATAGGGACAATTGTATTGGACAGATAAGAGAACTGAAATTCAGAAGGGTTGAAGTAACTTGTCCAAAACTTAACGTGATTTGTAAATGCCACCGACAGGATATGAAATCCAGGAACCATTGACTTTGGAATGCATGCTTAAAGCCACAAATGACCTCTTTCCCGAATTCTCCCTCTCCAGATGCCATGTAGATGGGATACTGGGTGGACCTTATTTAGTTAACCTTACACAAGCTATTTCCCCTATAAAGCTGACCATAACTAAGTTACTTCTCCATGCCCTAGCAAAATCGAGCCATCATAGACATCAAGGTCATGGTGCAAAGCTTTAAGAGGCATGATGCAAACCTTCTGGAAAAGAAGCCAGCTTTTGCTGTTTAGTAGGATTCCACATGAGTGCCAGAGTTGGCTCTGCTAGTCTTACTGGACACTGCCCTGCTTAAATAGCAGGACACTGTCACAACTTTAGAATTTGTAAGAATGTGTACAGGATTTTTTTAATAGCTACATCATAAATCCATGTAAGAGTAGTGATCTGTACAGTTAGCAATAATTTTTTTTAACTATAAATATCAATGTCCTTGTTAAAATCAAACTTGTTCAGACTGTCTTTATTAAACTAGTCTGAGTCCCATTGAGAAAGTTCTATTTTCATTTTTTTCCAGTTTTATTGATATAATTGACACACAGTACTGTTTAAGGTGTACATAATGACTTAACTATACAGTGAAATGAATACCACAGTTCACATCCAAAAAGAAAATGGTTAAGTGGTTCTTTACCAGAGATAAAGTAGTTACTTCATCAGAGAAAATGTAATATAAATAATTGTTTAAGAAGGTACCGGAAGACTAAACAGGTAAGAAGACAGGGACTACCATGATTTAGACCTTTCAGGAATGAAGGGTTACCCAACCAGATGAAGAACTCTGATCAGCTGAGATCTCTGCTTGGGGTGGGGGTTAGGCAGGTAGTGGTGGTAGGACCGGGTAGAAGAGACAAAGGTTAATAACAAACACAACTATCTCACAGTATCATGTTTATATTTGTGTCACTGAATAGGAGAACACTTATTTCTTCAGAATTAGGAGAATGGCCATCTCAGATTATTAACAATACTCTAAGTCCTAGGCTCTGGGTTAACTGTTAGATATTTATTTTTAAAAATTTTTTTTTTCAACGTTTATTTATTTTGGGGACAGAGAGAGACAGAGCATGAATGGGGGAGGGGCAGAGAGAGAGGGAGACACAGAATCGGAAACAGGCTCCAGGCTCCGAGCCATCAGCCCAGAGCCTGACGCGGGGCTCGAACTCACGGACCGCGAGATCGTGACCTGGCTGAAGTCGGACGCTTAACCGACTGCGCCACCCAGGCGCCCCATAGATATTTATTTTTTAAATTTATTTGTTTGAGAGGCAGAGTGAGCAGGGGAAGGTCAGAAAGAATCCCAAGCAGCCTGTGGGTGGAGCCTGATGCAGGGCTCGAACTCAAGAACCCTGAGTTCATGACCTGAGCCCAAACCAAGAGTAGGACACTTAACCAACTGAGCCACCCAGGTGCCACAACTTTGTTAGATATTTTAAAAGGCAGTGTTTCTGAACAGCATTCAGTAGAGACACAGTGGCAGCTCAGGGTCCTTACCCGTCAATAGCTCAGTTTTAGGGCTTTACAGGGTAGCATGTTGGGACTTCAGCAGAAACTTAGGAGACAGGCTCCCAAGAAGGGACGCTGGTACCCAGATAAAAAAGTAATGCCAACTTAAGTGGGGAGCTTCTGAAGTATGATAATATTTGGTGGTAGGTAGGTCATGGAGCCTTGACTATAGGGAAGTCCATCCATTTTGAAACCGGGCTTGTCAACAGTTTGAGTACAGAGGATAGTGTTTATCCAGCAGGAGACCCAAGTAAATGACCTGGGGACCAAGGCTCTGGTCTTGGGGAAAACAAACTCAAATCAGTAAGGATACAGAGACAGGCTGCTATTTGGTAGACCCGGGTATCTAGGAACCCACCAGGGAACACAAGGTAGTCTTAGGGACAAAGAATAAATATAGCCCTTGTAAATCCATCTACTCCATATACTAGCAGAGTACTGTCAGCTGGGTTCTCAATGGCTGAAGAATATGACTGGGTTGACCCTACACCAGGTCTTTAGTACTTATCACGAGATGTGTTTGGTGAAGGCAGGGACCTAGAGTTGTTCCTTTGGTAAAATTGGCATTATCATGTCTTTTCCTGTTCATCTGACAGACACAAAATAATTTTGTTAGGATGATATATTACTGGCCTGGTGAGTGGTAGATGATATCTCTTAAGGTGTATATATAGCAACTGGGCAGAAATGAATGGGAAGAAAATGAGGGAAGGTAAATGGGTGAAGCCAAGTAGTCAGAAAATGTGAAATTTCCAATAACTTTATCCATGGAGACTTACTGGAGATACTGTAGAATTTTCAGGACTGAAATAATTCAAAGCCAGAGCACTGGGAGTTTCCCACCTATGGTATATCTTTAAGAGAGGGTAAGACTGGGTATCAGATTTCTGACTTAGTGAGATTATGGACATTGATCTAACACCCACAAGATTAAAAAATTTACTCAGGGAAATCATAATGATAATAATTCTGTCTTTAGAATTTCTGGACAAATCAACCTTCAAATGCTATAGTTCACTAATCTTTAAGGTTAAAAAAAAAATCACTTAATTTAAATAAGGACAATTCTGACCAAATTGGATAGCTTGCATCAGTAAGAAAGTTTATTGAAATTCATCAGTGAATGAGAATAGAAAGTTGTTTTTTTTTTTTTCCATTAAAGAACACTTTCTGGTAAAGTGAAAAGAAATACAGAAACCACAAAACACCTTTTAGACACCTTATTTTCAAGGAGTGAACCTATTTCCATTGACCATTAAGACTGAAGTGTTTTCTTGGAGCTTTTGTTTTTCATGCACCTGTACATAATGGTCTGTGTGAAGGGAGACTCTTTCCTCTTGATGCGGCTTAATAGTAGTGTTTCTTGGTTTCTGATTCAACCATTGATGAAAGGACTCTACCATCAGGTGCCACCTCTTCAATAATTGTCTTGATTACTCTGGTTTTGTTAGTATCTGTACATGAATCACAGGGGAAAAAAACAATTTAGACTAAATAATTTGTGGGGCTTCTTACTAATTAATCAAAAAAAATTTTTTTTAAATTTTTTTTTCAACGTTTATTTATTTTTGGGACAGAGAGAGACAGAGCATGAACAGGGGAGGGGCAGAGAGAGAGGGAGACACAGAATCGGAAACAGGCTCCAGGCTCTGAGCCATCAGCCCAGGGCCCGACGCGGGGCTCGAACTCACGGACCGCGAGATCGTGACCAGGCTGAAGTCGGACGCTTAACCGACTGCGCCACCCAGGCGCCCCTAATCAAATTTTTTAAAAGAAAAGTACACTAAACTAAAAAAAGAAAGAAAATCCTATTTTTTTTTTGTTTGTTTTCTACATCCGAATAGTATTTAAGCTACAGCATCTTGCACCAGGTTATTTTTCGTTCAAGATAGATGTCAAGAGTATAGTTTGCTAAAAAAAAAATAAAATAAATAAAAAAAAGAAAAAAAATAAAATTCCAAGCGGAAATCTCTAAGATTTTAATTTTTTAGAAAGCTTTAAAAAGCAACAAAATCATCACGGAAAGTTAAAACTAATTCTGATTACCCCAGCTAGTTTCTGCTGACCTTGGTCCCTTGGAAGAGGGTTCCCCGACGGACCCAGAAGACGAGGACTTGTGCCCGCCGGAGCTGCCGCCACCGTAGCCGCCGCCGCTGGAACTGCCGCCGTGGCCACCGCCGCCGCCGGAGCTGCCGCCGCCGTAACCACCCCCGTGACTTCCGCCGGAGCTACCGCCGTGGCCGCTACCGCCGTGGCCGCCACCGCTGGAACTTCCGCCGCCGTAGCCGCCGCCGTAGCCGCCACCGCCGCCGGAACTTCCGCCGTAGCCGCCGCCGGAACTTCCGCCGCCGCGCCCGCCGCCGTAGCCGCCGCCGCCGCCGGAACTACCGGGAGTGAGGGTTATGTTCGGTTAACTCTAACTTTGAAAAATGGTGGGTCGCCTTCTAGGTTATCGTTACTTTAAAAATAAGCAAAACGTGTTTCGAGAGGGGAAAAAAAAATACCTGTCGAATATGGATTCTCAGACCCACTAACGAACAGTTTTATATGCATACAACTTTCAGAATCAAATCCATGGGAAACTCAGGCTGTGGTTGCATAAGCCTTTCTCTGTACTCTGCCTTCCCCCTTCTCCTCCGTTTCGCCCACCCTCCGGCACTTTGGGTTTTGGAAAAGCCCGGCGATTTGGAACACCGAATAAGACCATTGGGATAATTCTAAGATTTTTATAATTTACCTTCCTTCTCCTTCTAGTAGGCTGCGGTAGGTTTGAATTTCATTCTCCAGTCGGATCTTAATATCCAGGAGCTGTTGGTACTCAGCATTCTGGCACTCGGTTTCAGCTCGAATCTGTTGCAGTTGTTCCTCCAGAGAGGAGATCTGGGCCTGAATCTGGGAGAGCTGCATACAGTAGCGACCTTCTGTTTCTGCCAAGGAGGCTTCCAGGGATTGTTTCTGGAAAGAGGAGAGAATGTACGGTGGCTTAGCGACTTCTTTGTTTAATTGAGTACAGTGAAGATGATTTAATAATTATTTAATGATAATTAATATTTAATCTTTATTTAATAATAAGACATCAAATAGAAGAATAAAGGAAATGAATAGAATTTGTGTTTTATGTTTAATGGCAACATTTTAACCTCACGTTTAGAGCAGGGCCCCTAAGACTTTTCTCCCATTAACAAAGAGCTCCAATTTTATTTCTACCTTCGTACTCTTTCTTTTTTTCTTGTGGTGCATATTCTTTTTTTTTTTTTTTTTTTAATTAAAAAAAATTTTTTTTTTCAACGTTTATTTTTGGGACAGAGAGAGACAGAGCATGAACGGGGGAGGGGCAGAGAGAGAGGGAGACACAGAATCGGAAACAGGCTCCAGGCTCCGGGCCATCAGCCCAGAGCCTGACGCGGGGCTCGAACTCACGCACCGCGAGATCGTGACCTGGCTGAAGTCGGACGCTTAACCGACTGCGCCACCCAGGCGCCCCTCTTGTGGTGCATATTCTTATGTGAGCGTGAAACTTTGTGTGTTAAAGTTGAAGTTATTTCAAGAGAGAATTACAAACATACCAGGGCTAGTTGGGACTGTAGTTCGATTTCCAGACCTTGAACCGTGCGTCTCAATTCAGTAATCTCCGATTTGTGGCTGGACATTTGTTCGATGTTACTATTGATTTCCGTAGTGAGTTCTTTGCTCTAGAGTATTAACAACAGGGGAAAAGATGAGAAAATTCTGAAATGATAACCAAACGTCCGTTGGCCCCACTATGAAGGAAGACGAATTAACCTTTTCGTTGAACCAGGCTTCAGCGTCTTTGCGGTTTTGTTCAGCAAGTTGTTCATACTGGTTTCTCATGTTATTCAGAAGTTCAGTCAGATCGACACCTGGGGCAGCATTCATTTCTACATTTACATCACCAGTGGACACATTTTGAAGGTCTTTCATTTCCTGTTAGAGGAACAGAAAAATTTAATGATTGTATCATGACCACATGACCACCCCCCCCTTTTATTTTTGGCTGGGGGCATATAACTTTTTGCATCACCTCTTCATGATTCTTCTTCAGGTAGGCCAGCTCTTCAGTCAGGCTCTCGATCTGCATCTCCAGGTCAGCCTTGGTCAGGGTCAGTTCATCCAGCACCCTGCGCAGGCCATTGATGTCAGCCTCCACGCTCTGGCGCAGGGTGACCTCGTTCTCATACCTGAAACAAGCATGGTACAAATACTGGATATAATTTACACATGGGAGATGTTCCTGGGCTGAGACTGTTTTAGAAGCGAATACGGAGTTGGCTTCATATGGCAACATTTATTGTGTACTAATTCATATGGGGATAGAGGGATATTAGTGGGTTAATGCAAGGAAGCTTAGCAGTTTACTTTAAAATGCATTTTCTTCTTTTAATATTGCCAAGAAGGTAATATTGAAATTGAAAAATTTTCGGACAGCTCCAATACTGTTTAACTTTGAATGAATTCAAGAAAATGTAAATGCTATTGTAGGTGTCCAAAGTCACTGTTAAAAACAACTCCTGTATTTGTTGTGACTGTGTTGTACCATGTTTACTTAGCTTACTTTAATCTGAAGTCATCAGCTGCCAGCCTGGCATTGTCGATCTGAAGCAGGATGTTGGCATTATCAGTTGTCAGATTGAGGATCTGGAGGGAGAGGCAAAGAAATCAGATACAGATACGCCATTATAAAACCAGGTGGCATAGATAGATAAGCTGCATTTTTATGTTCTCGTACAAAATCCTGGGGGGATTTTTTTTATCTTAAATATAAAATATTGCAGGGTTACTCATATACTTAAATTTGAGGCATTTGTTCTCTTAAAGTTTCTATACATATCTACTTCTGTATCATCTTTTTCTGAAAACTAACTGCAATTATATAGCTGTGTTCTTGCACAGCTCCCCTCTCCCCCCTCCCATTTTATACTGTGTGATTTCCATGTATTTCAGTGAGCTTTTGACTGACTCATACCTTTTGGTTTAACTTGTTTTAAATATACATTCTAAATGAATACACTCTGGGCTGACACACAGTAGGTACAATTCACAAATTCTCCCAGAGGCAAACAGTATCCCATTTTCATACTGGAGAATTCATGTTACTTGTAATGTTGGTAATGGATTTTTTTTTATTATCAATCTGAATACTGTCTTGTTCTGATTGATTTAATAATTCTTTCAGTTCCGATATTTGTAAATGACCTAGTATTTTAACTATGAACTCATACACTCATTTAAACATAAAATCTCAGTAATCCATCGTCTGATAAGGTATACAACACACATTGAAGATTTCAATGACCATATCCTCACAAATATTTACCTTTGAGGAGACTGGATTATTTTTGGAAGCGAGAAAGTAACTTAGACAATCACAGTGAATAGCTACATTGTAGTTAATGTAAGTGTCACATATCTGAGTTACATGGATAAAAAATAGGCTTAAAGTTGGATTTTTAAGATGCACCTTACCTGATTTTTAAGATCATCGATGGTTTGGTAGTATTTGCTGTAGTCACGAGGTTCTCTCTGGCCTAAGCCGCCATGCTTTTCATACCACTCTTTGATTTTGCCTTCTAGCTCATAGTTTGATTCTTCCAGAGCCCGCACTTTGTCCAAGTAGGAAGCCAGGCGGTCATTCAGATTCTGCATGGTTACTTTTTCATTTCCGGAGAGAAGGCCACCATCTCCTCCAAATCCACCCCCAAAGCCTCCAAAACTGCCTCCACTGAAGCCACCACCACCAAAGCTGCCCCCTCCAAAGCTGCCTCCTCCATAGCCCCCACCAAAGCTGCTGCTTCCATAGCCTCCACCAAAGCCTCCTCCACCAAAGCCTCCTCCGCCAAAGCCTCCTCCTAATCCTCCATAGCCACCTGATGAGCCCCCAAAGCAGCCTCCACCAGAGCTCCCACGACTAAAAGAACCACCACTGAACCCCCCTGAGCTAAATCCTCCACCAATGGAGCCTTTGCTGCTTGAAATTCTGAAGGATGACCCTCCTCCTCCTCCTCCTCCCCCCCCACTGCGGGAGGAAGAGTACTGCTTGCTTGAGCTGTATCGAACAGACATGGTGATGCTGTTTAGCTCAGGGAGTGCTTGCTACCAAGGACAGTGACAAGCCTTTATACACTGAGAGGGTGTGTCCCACATGTGTTAGAGTTTGCTTACTTGCATGGTTTTCTTTTTGCCAATTTAGCATCTTTACTTATGATTGCATAAATTATTGTTGGTAATAACCAATTCCAATATGTATGGTTTTGAATTTGCCCTAAGAACAAACAGGAGTTTTGCTGTGTTGAAATTGAAAATGGGTGTAGTTCAGATGAGCTTATGTTTCATTACGCTTTTTTACCTTTTGAAGAATATTGAGCAACTTATATCCAGTTTTTTCTCAGTACTAATTTAGTTACACAGAATGTTTGCGAAGTTTGGAAAAAGAATTTTAGCTACAAAATTATTGCTGAAGATATTTCAAATTCATGTTTTAAATAGTTTTAATTAATTGGAAAAAAAACTAACATAATGTCATGCTCTAATGGGGATCTTGTAGAAAATTGCAAGCAAACCAAAAAGAAAAGAAAAAAAATGTGCTAAGCAGTTTAATTAGTGTTCAAAAGATGCCACATATGAAAAATTAAAGCCATTAAAAAAACCAAATTGGTAAGTGTGTGTGTGTGTGTGTGTGTGTGTGTGTGTGTGTGTGTAGTGTTTGTAGGGAATCTTTTAATTTATTTGGAGAATGAAAGCATAGTGGTACTTTGCTTAGAGAGTTGGAAGTGAGTAATGACTTAGGAATCTGCTAATTTAATGGTGCTATTCTTTTTAACCTTATATATATTTTTAAGTTTATTTTGAGAGCGAGAAAGCTCATATGAATGTGTGAGCAGGGGAGGGGCTGAGAGAGAGAGAGAGAGAGAGAGAGAGAGAGAGAGAGAATCCCAAGCAGGCTTCATGCTGACAGCACGGAGCCCAACACAGGGCTCAATACCACAAACCGCAAGATCACGCCCTGAGCTGAAACCATGAGCTGGACGCTTAACTGAGCCACCCAGGCACCCTTTCTTTTTAACCTAAAAAAAAAAAATCCTGAAGTGATTCTGGATTTTATTGATTTTTAAATTCATCATAGTGAAGGCTCATTTGAAGAACATAATGCAGAAATCCTTAGCATAATATATGAAAAACTAACCTCCATTACTTTCTTTACTCTAAATTTGATTGATCCCCAAAGGGAGAGCTTAGTTATGTTGTAATTGTGATTAAAAATTTGCTTACAGGAATATAAATCCAGATTAGAGAATGCTACTTGCTCCAAAAATTATGATCTGGACTGTGAACATATGTTTCCAAGCTAGATTCTGTTTCTCAAAAAAAATTTTTTTTTCCTTGGATACACTGTGTATAGAATTTGGTGTAACAGTTTGTCTAGTGGAGTATTTAATTGGGACTTTAATACATGGTATAAAATTATTTTTCATCTACCCATAGGCTATGACAATGCTGTTGTTCAAAAATATATTCATGTGTATTACACACACACACATATTTTATAATTAAACAGTGCCATTTGTGATCCTGTGATTTTATAATCTGTGAAACAAGCTGCTGAAATAGGGATGGTGGTTATCTCTAGTGTATGAAAGAGGAAGTTGAAGCTGAGAGAGGTTATGATTTCACCTAACGAAATGAAACAGGTGGTTGAACTGAGATTAGAAACTTAGTGTTTTGATGCCTGACTTTTGGCTCTTTCCTACGCTACCATTGTGTCTATGTACTTTCTACTGTGGTTGGTCTGATAGGATCCAATGCCTCTCTTTCTCACCATAAACTTCTCCACGTGGGAAAAAACAAAACAAAACAAAAAGTCCTTGGAAGCATGAAAATGTTGAGATGAGAGGGTATTTGGCACATGCTCTTCTTTTACGAATTGCTTTTTCCTATTAGATGTACAGCTGGACAGCCTATGAAAACTGTAGAAATAGTTTCTTCAGGGAAGAGGAATGTGGCTGGGAGTGTTAGTGTAGAGCTGATTGTCAGGGGTTACGGTTATTATCCAGCACGTTGTGGTTCCACCAACTTGTTAGCACATGTAAGTGGGGCAGTAGCTAAAAGAAATAATGAAACCCAACCATGGGAATTGATCCTTGAGGAAGATAGCAGGCGGTAGAGGAAGGCTGTAAAAATCAGGATAGAGAAAACAAAAAACCATTCCAGTAAGTTCAGAGCGGATGTTGAAGCCTTGATATTAATGAAAGCGATTTGGAAAGAAACATTTTTTTTTTTTATAATGTTTTCTCAACGTTTATTTTATTTTTGGGACAGAGAGAGACAGAGCATGAACGGGGGAGGGTCAGAGAGAGAGGGAGACACAGAATCGGAAACAGGCTCCAGGCTCTGAGCCATCAGCCCAGAGCCTGACGCGGGGCTCGAACTCACAGACCGCGAGATCGTGACCTGGCTGAAGTCGGACGCTTAACCGACTGCGCCACCCAGGAGCCCCGAAAGAAACCATTTTAATTAAAGAGAGATTCTGGTAGATTTTACTTGCCATTATTATGAATTTTGGATCTTGATCTTACCGGTTTTGCTTCAGTATTAGCTTTTACTTTTTTTTTTTTCACCCTGGTGGAGAAATATAAAATTTAAATCTATTTTCAGTTATTTAACCGGTGCAAGTGGTATGAAGAAATCTGTTACAATCATATTAAAGAATATGTGAAAGGAAACCTGTGCGTAAAAGTACACGGGGACAAATACATGTATAGAGACTCTTCTAATACCAACTATGATATTTAAACCACCTTTAACTAAATCTATTATCGAAGGCTGCTTATTAACCTGTATATTGTAGAAATTGATTTGTGTTTATTTGCACTGTCATTTGTTGAAATCCGCCTTTGGCATGAGTGACGTTACAGAGGTGCCATGTAACAATTCTATAGCTAAATAGGATGAAAATTTACAGACTGTCATTTCTAATCTTGGCACCGTATATACTTGATTGCCATAATCCACTGTAACTGTAATTTCGTTGTTTTCTATTTTTATTGTGTCTCTGTGGGGCATTGATAGGTATTTAGAAGATAGATGAATGAGATTCAGCTCTTGCCCTTAACGATTTTACTAATCCTTACAATCTAATTGAAGAGACAAAACAAACATTATCAACCTAAGCACCATATGAATGGTAAATGAAGTGAAAAGGAGGTGGGGTGGGGAAAAGGAGTTAACATTTCTAAACATCTACTACGTTCTAGATGGTTTAGTCTCCTGTAATCCTCCCCAATTTCTCTCTGATTGGTATTACATACCTCATTTTATAGCTGGAAAAAAAAAAAAAAGTGAAGCTTTAGAAAGCTTTAGGAATTGCCCAGAGTAGCATAGGTAGTTTATGCTAGAGCCTGGTTTTGAATCAGCTTCAAAGATGATCCTGTTTTCATGAAAGGATCTGTCGTGAAAGACTGTCGCTGTAAGACTGATGAGCAAGGAGTCTTGTTGGAATAGGGTCATCTGACAAAGTTTCATGTGCCAGTGGAATTTAAGCTGAGTCTTGCAAAGGATGGGGAGGATTCTTCCATGCATGCAGCAGCAGAGAGAGGACCTTTCTGGGAAGTGGGGACTATGAAAATGCCAAACAGGTGGAGACTCTTAATGGGCCAGTTTGGCTAGATCAGATCATCTATATTTATTAATTTCTCTTAACAGATTTTATTTGGTACCTGCAATATTCCCTGGGGATACATAGGTGACTAAGACAAATCCTGCCACTTAGGGAATTTGCACTCTACTTGGAGAGACAAGCAAACATACCCACAAGTTGGAGATTCTAATATAGGGTACTCTGGGCTACACTTGAGGCATGACCAGGGTGTTGAGGTAGTGCAGAGGGGTTCTAACAGTCTGGTGTGTGTGTGTGTGTGTGTGTGTGTGTGTGTGTGTGTGTGTGTGCGCGTGCGATGTGCATGAGGACACAATGAAAGAAAAATGAAGTTTTGAGAAATTAGTTTAAGATAGGAATTTGAAGTAGTACCAGGATATTCACGTAAAAATGTCTTAGCACTTAGACTCCTAGGACTACAGTTCAGGAGGGAGATTAGAGCAGCAGATACGTTCAAGATAGGTAAGATCCCTAAGGGAAGGAATTGAGAAAGAAATGAGTGAAGGTCTAAGCCTGAACTTTGACGGATGTCCTCTTTAGGGGCTGGGAAGAAGAGCTAGAGACTAGAGAATAATACTGAGAAGGAGGGCACTTATGATTTGGGAAAGAGGAAGAAGGAACTTGGAAGCCAAGGGAGGAGGGAACCCAGATAAGTAGGCTGGTCACCAGAAAGAGAGATCAAGGAGAAAGGAGATTGAAAAGAAAGTTGATTTGGCAGTTAGGAACCACTGGCGTCCTTCCACAGGGGAGGTTTAGTGGAATTGTAGTAGGGTAATCTACAATATATACAATATATATTGTATATACAATATACAATATATACCCAATATTAGATTTGGCCACTTTGCTTACTGTATTTTGTTTTCATGTAGTCCAGTGTATTAATTTCCTCTTTAATTGCTTCTGGATTTGCAGTCATGGTTAAGGCGGGTATACACTATTCTCATGAGTTTAGTTTGGCTGGGGCTCTTGAAACATGTTGCTTCAGTTTTGTTATCAACTTGACTTGTCACACTGTTGGGATTTTTGGACCTTTCCTATTCCTTGTTTTTCTTCAAGTAAAATTCTCTTTTGAAGTTTCTATTTGAAAATTCTATTTGCAAGTTTCTTTCTCTGATTAATTGAGATACAATGAGTAATTTAAGTAGTTACAGAAAGAGGACTCTGGGGCGCCTGGGTGGCGCAGTCGGTTCAGCGTCCGACTTCAGCCAGGTCACGATCTCACGGTCCGTGAGTTCGAGCCCCGCGTCGGGCTCTGGGCTGATGGCTCGGAGCCTGGAGCCTGTTTCCGATTCTGTGTGTCTCCCTCTCTCTCTGCCCCTCCCCCGTTCATGCTCTGTCTCTCTCTGTCCCAAAAATAAATAAATGTTGAAAAAAAAAATTAAAAAAAAAAAAAAGAGGACTCTGGTAGTGCAGATTATGTCTCAAGATGGCAGGATTGATGAGCTAAATGTTTAGAGTTTTCCATTGTTTATCACAGAAAGTTTGAAAGTTAGACATATTTTGCTTGACTGGTCTGTGACTGTGTGCAAACTGCTGAATGTGCCTTTATGATTACCACCCACAGAGTCAAAGCCAAATGGAAAATTGTACAACTGTGTAGTGGATTTGGTACCCTCCTCCCAGCCAACTGAGGATTTAGGCAATAATTAGTAATTAGCGAAGATATTCATAAGGCCCATGACTTCTCATTGCAAAACATCTAAAATTCAGTGCTTTAAAATCTGCAGACACTCCCATATCATGCAATTTTTCTGAAACTTCTGGGATTGCACTGTGATAGAAGCCACAAAAATGTGGAAATTACATGAAGGCTTTTCAGTTAATATAGCAGATGGTTAAGTGAGTGGGCTCTGGAGCCAGACTGCCAGGGTTACAGCCCACACCCCACCACTCACTGTGTGTTGTCTTGGTTTCCTCATTTCTTAATTGAAAAAAAATGTTTATTTATTTTTGAAGGAGAGACGGAGTGTCAGCGGGGGTGGGGCAGAGAGAGAGGGAGACACAGAATTGAAAGCAGGTGTCAGAAGTAGTCTCCAGGCTCTGGGCTGTCAGCACAGAGCCCACACAGGGCTCTAACTCACAAACTGTGAGAACATGCCCCGAGCCGAAGTTGGACGCTTAACTGACTGAGCCACCAAGATGCCCCCCGGTTTCCTCATTTCTCAAAAAGGAATGATAATTTTGCTTACTCTGCAGTGTTGCAGTGGTAGTTGAATGAGTTAGTTAAATATTAAGCATTTAGAACAGTGCCTGACATACATAGAACAAGTGCTTAAGATGTTTATTGGTGTTACTATTACTGTGATCAGTATCTTAGAGCCTAAGCCACTGTCTAACCCACAGTAGGCCGGAAAAATATGAGTGAAAGGATAAGGTTAGAGGATGGAAAATGGCTGGTGAGGAGGAGAAAATGGCAGGGGAGGAGGGTAGGCAAAGGAAAGATGTGCTTTACTGTTAACTTTGTGATAAAGTTTGCCATCTGTTTTTCTCTAAATGATGTGTGATTTTTTTTTGAAGTTTATTTATTTATTTTATTTATTTATTTATTTTTCAACGTTTATTTATTTTGGGGACAGAGAGAGACAGAGCATGAACGGGGGAGGGGCAGAGAGAGAGGGAGACACAGAATCGGAAACAGGCTCCAGGCTCTGAGCCATCAGCCCAGAGCCTGACGCGGGGCTCGAACTCACAGACCGCAAGATCGTGACCTGGCTGAAGTCGGACGCTTAACCGACTGCGCCACCCAGGCGCCCCAAGTTTATTTATTTTGAGAGAGAGAGAGTGTGTGTGTGTGTGTGTGTGTGCATGTGGTGGAGGGGCAGGGAAAGAGGTAGAGAGGATCCCAAGCAGGCTCTGCACTGTCAGCGAGGAGCCCGATGAGGGGCCCAAACTCACCAACCTGGGTGCTTCACTGACTAAGCCACCTGGGTGCCCCTGTGCTTTCGTTTTTAACTTCATTCTTTTCTTTATCTCCTATATCCACCAAATCCCCAATGTTGTCACTTTTTTTTTTTTAAATCTTAGCTGATGTTTTTCTTTCTGTCTGGTCCCACTGCAACTGCCCTAATCCAGGCTTTCCGCACTTCTGTCACTAGCTTCTGAAGACATTTTCTTGGCTCAGTGCTATGTCACTTAAGATCTTTCCTGTTCACTGCTGCAGGATTAATGTTCTTGACAAAGTATTGTCATGACTTCATCAGTGTACTCAAGCACCTATTATGGATTTCTCTTGTGGATGGATTAAGTCTTCTCAACAGCTTTGCCTGACTCGGTCTGTTCATCTTCATGCTCCCTGCGGTGCATAAGGGTGGTGGAGTGGAAGGAGAGCTGCATTCTCCTCATGAAGTAATTATGTGGCCCTGGGCAAGACACTCAGCCTCTCTGTGTCTCATTTTACTACCCTATAAAATATGGGTAATACTGTAGGTTTCCCCTGCTGTTTGAAAGTAGAGTGTTCCTGTAAAGCAAAGAAGCAGTTATCATTAATTTATATGGAAAATTTTGAGCATCCCCAAGTCCTCAAAATAACTTCTTTTAGGCTTTTCTGATACCCTGGGACACATCTTGCTAACTGATGCACAGAATACATGGAGATAAAGCCCACACGCTCACAGACACAGTTGAAAGCTATGGCTGATAGATGCTGAGATGCTGAATGTAGTTCTCAGGGGAGGAGCTTGGTGGGGCCATTCTTGCTACCTCTATAATGGCTCACTGCAGGAAACACTTGGTGCTATTTTCGCTCTTTGCCTATTTTTCACAAAAGTGAAAATCTCTTTGGATTTTTTCCAGTTAATGAGAACAGGTACTAATGTAAGTCTTTTGTAAAAGCAAAATGGCATCAAGGTGAACTTCCAAAAAGCGGGGGATGCGTGTACTCATAAATATTACAATATGTATAATCACGATCCAATGAAAAAATGTATTAGCATTTCCGTGAAAAATTCTTCAATGATCAGCAAGCCTTTTTTTTTTTTTTTTTAATCCTGGCCAAGACATTATGCTTTATCCCTGAATCTAAGGCCTTTGTTGCTCTTGTTTTGAAATGTCCTTCTTTCACTTTGCTAGTTACTCAAATCATGCTACCTCAACTCGAAGCTCTGGCTTAAATGTCCTCTCCTTCATGAGGTTTCTCACCATTAACGTAAGTCACGTCTGTCTGTCTCTTTCAGTTCCTGTGTGTGTAATCTAGTGTTTTATAATATGCTGTGCTATCATTGTTCCTAGTGAGATGAGGCCTTTAAGTCCCTTTAGAGAAGGGAGGGTGCTGTATACCCGGTCTGTACCTGACAGATACTTACTGTTCTCTGAATGTTTTCATATCACCTCAGTGCCTTTTCCTACTTTCTTTTCTTGCCTTTATTTTGTTCTCTAAGCTCTTTTTTGGCAGTGGTGCAAGTTCAAAATTTAAATAAAGGCCAGTTGAAGACAACTAATTTCACTTTAAAGTAACTTATAATACTTTTAGATGTGAGAATGTTGCATAAGAATGATAAGAAATCTAATATTCTGCACAGGAGTTTTAAGGTATCTTAAAATATATAAAGATATATACCTTGGACTTTATATATACGCTTTATATATTAAAAAAAAAACATTTTAGGGGCGCCTGGGTGGCGCAGTCGGTTAAGCGTCCGACTTCAGCCAGGTCACGATCTCGCGCTCCGTGAGTTCGAGCCCCGCGTCAGGCTCTGGGCTGATGGCTCGGAGCCTGGAGCCTGTTTCCGATTCTGTGTCTCCCTCTCTCTCTGCCCCTCCCCCGTTCATGCTCTGTCTCTCTCTGTCCCAAAAATAAATAAACGTTGAAAAAAAAATTAAAAAAAAAAAACAAAAACATTTTGGCCCTCACTTTTTCCGCTTCATTAAAGGTCCCCTTTTTGGTTTTGGATCTGTTGTGATGATCTTGATACTGGCAAACTCCTAAAGTATATCTGTACTTCTAACACTTCAATCTGTTTATTAGGATAGTTGGCTATTTTAGTTGGTTTTCTAGTTAGAAAGCACATGAGTTTGGTGTAACTTAAGGATTAAATGTTATGTGGCTTGGCCTTTATGTTTCGTTAGCATGTCATAGGTTTCTTCCTTTCGATTGAGTTGACTTCATTCTATGAAAACAATTAGCTGCATTAGGAGGTGTGAAACCATGAATCACCTGCATTAGGAGGAGAATTTACTGATGTAGAGCAGAAAACAGAACGATAATATCCCTTTGAGTTTTCATAAAAAGTAGTAAAAGTGAAAGTACCAGCCAACCAGCCAAGCTCTACAAACTACACTCTTAAGATATTAAAACAACTTTGTCAAAAATAATGGCTGTTTTTTGCCCTCATTCCTAAATCCAAGAAAATTCCTTTAGGTCCAATTGTGGTTGTTAATCAAAATCGATCCTCTCAAAGATGTGTGGTAATGGGAGAAAGTAATTTATGAAATCTTGTTAATGTTTACTTAGGGAATGTGGGCAGATCTAAAAAGAGTAGACAAAATTTTGATTTCCACATGGTACATATAGAGGTTAAAGAATATAATAAAAGCGGCAATCCCCCACTCTAGTAACTTTAAATGAATATATATAATGTGCTTAAATTAAGAAAAAAATCTTACGAGTTAATCTCTTAATTTTATTGCCTAGAGATTTTTAAAATACTTTAAAGAATCAGCTTGTCAGTTTTATAACAAGTTGACAATAGCTCGGTGTCCAGATCACGTGTGTGTGTGTGTGTGTGTGTGTGTGTGTGTGTGTGTGTGTGTGGTGGGAATGGTAAGGAATAGATTGAAACAATTATTAAAATGAAACACATAATTGCAATGGAGAAAATTTACTGTAACCATTCTGTGGCCTCCCTCTACAAAGTTGATGAGAGATAATGCCCAAAGAACACTAATTTCTTGGATTAAATTTATTAAATAAATATGAAAGTAACCTTTGCAAAGTCAGTCCTCAGATAATTAGAGCTTATTGAGACTTATTCTATGTTCCAGGGCCCGTGCCAAACACTGGACCTGAATTTTTGTCTCATCAAATCCTGACAGCAATTGTACGAGGTAGCTTTTTTTTTTTAACTGAAAAATTAAGTAGCTTGCTCAAAATTGTTCAATAGAAGGACTCAGCTGTGATTTGAGTACAGATCTAGCTTGAGAACTTTTAACACGGTGAGTGAGCTAAAAGTCTCTGGAAGTGATCCAGAATTGTATTTTGCAGTCATGTGACTTAGAAAATGAACAAGAACATGAGGGGTTCTGTTTTCTTTCTCAGATCAGGTAAGCCTTTTTAAAAATCATTTCATTTGTGATGAAAAACAGACTGGGACATGAATTCTGCTCCTGGAGGGGTCAGACTTGTAGGTTTTATCTGTACCCAGGCTAGACTGTGTCCTGACTTTCTCAGGGTCCTTCCTGCTTGGGTTTCTGGAGGTCCCTAAGTCTTGGGCGTGATGGTCCTCAGCTCCAGACCAGTCGTTAAAATAACAAATCGGAGCAATTAGGCACCATGCATAATTGCCACACTAATCCTTTTATTATGCTGGCTTTTCTAGACAGAGCTAAACCCTTTATGGAGATTAACTGCTTTTTGTAAGGTTTTTACTCTAAATCTCGAACAAATGGTGTATTATCTGAATTAATTTGATAGTAAACTGTGACTTGGAAGGGTTCTGTTGCTTTGGGATTTTCCAACTTTCATAACCCAAAAGCTACCAGAATTTTTAGTGTCTCACTAATATTTCCTGTGTTGATCATTTTGGTTAAAATGTGGAGTGAAGGTTAGACTTGTCTAGTCCTTAAGCTTAGATATAAATGAGTTCTCTAGTCCTAAAACTTAGATATAAAAAAGATACAACTTAAGATGTTGTGTTTTCTTTACTTTTTTTTTTTTTTTTTGACATTTGGAATATAAATGCTGCAATCTAAAAGTGATCTGGGGCTCCTGGGTGGCTCAATGGGTTAGGGAACTGACTCTTGATTTCTCACGGGTTGTGAGATCGAGCCCTGCCTTGGGCCCCCTGCTGAGAGCACAGAGTCTGCTTGGGATTCTGTCCCTCTCTCTTTGTCCCTCCCCCCACTTGCAGGTATGCACTCTCACCCAAATAAATAAATAAATAAGATCTAGTACAATGGGATAACTGTTGTAACAGTCACACTGATGGCCATCAGGTTGCTCTAAGCACAAGAATATTATGAATAGCAAGAACTTTCATCATTAACAGTTATTTAACATTTACTCTGTGCCAGACACTGTTAAGGGCTTTATGCACATTTTCTCATGGAACAACCCTGTATGGCAGATACTATTCTTAAACCCTTTTTAAAAAAATGGAGGAGGAAACTGAAGCTTACAATGCTTGTGTGTTGGGCATAGGGTGGTACAGCTAATACACTGGTGTCTGAGCCAGAATTGAAACCAGCTCTGTCTTCTCTAGCTCCCCCACCTTTGACACTCTTAACCACCACCTTTCACTGTCAGATGTTTAATTAAATGCTGCTTTGTGGTTTCAAAGACTGTCCCAGAAATGTAGATTACAGTGGTGAGTAGGGAACCATTTTATTATAGCTAGTCTGTTTTAGGATAGGCTTACATTTCCTACTAACAAATGAGCTAAATGGAATTTTAAAAGGAAGCAGATTTGAATAATATTCCTTTTTGTTTAGATGATTCAAAATGTTCTTTTCACAGATGTTCTGCAAACACTTTGCAATATGGGTATGTTTTGAGGGTAATGGATTTGAGTGGGTAGGAGTGGGTCAGTCACAATGGTAAATTATTTTATGACAAGTGCTATTTGGCCTGATATTTTAGGCTTGAGCACATACATGCTATCTTACTTAAAACTTAAAAATGTTTATTTGTTTTGAGAGACAGAGAGAGAGAGAGAACAGGGGAGGGACAGAGAGAGAGGAAGAGAGAGAATTCCAAGCAGGCTGCATGCTGTCAGTGCGGAGCCTGATGAGGGGCTTGAACCCACAAACCGTGAGATCATGACCTGAGCTGAAATCAAGAGTCAGATGCCCAACCGACTGAACCACCCAGGCCGCCCCATACACACTGTCAGTTTAAGAACTGAGTGTTTAATCCATAAAGACTCTTAAATACTGAGAACAAACTGAAGGTTGATGGGGGTGGGAGAGAGGGGAAAGTGGTTGATGGGCATTGAGGAGGGCACCTGTTGGGATGAGCACTGGGTGTTGTATGGAAACCAATTTGACAATAAATTATATTTAATATATATATATATATATATATATATATATATATATATATATATATA